ACTTTTAAATTTTTTATTGTACTTATTGTGTTTATTGTATTTTTTATATAACTTATTGATTAATATTTATTAGAGATTATATTATTGTATTTTTTGCCATAAATTTTCAGCAATTATTGGAGATTAAAATATTGTTATTTATCAAAGATGAGACTATTAATTTATCTTAAGTTATTAATATTCATGAATTGGTTTGATTCGGTTGTAGGTTGTTTTGCCAACCAAATTGACCTGGTCAGTTGAAACCGATTGACCATTTGTGAAAACCGACCCACTCAAGTATTAGTTTGGGTCGATTTTTTGGTTTATCTATTGGTTCAAAAGATTTAAACTTGAAAATTAAATTTAAAAAATTATAGTGCAATTGTTAAAAAATAAATTTAAAGATGAAATTTATGGTATAAAACATTTTAGACTAAGAAATATAGGAAATTTTCCACTTTTCCATATTAAAAATTATTTTTAAAATATAAAATATTAATATATATCAATGGTCAAGTTATCCGATTTTGGTCGATTTACAAATGGCCAAAGTGAAAATGATCCAATATGGTCAGGTCAAGTTGATCGGGTTGGTTGGTTTCATCAATTTAATGAATAAATCTAAATGAAATTAGTTATTGTTATTTTTGTGTTATAAAAATTTTATTAAAAATAGTATATAAAATATGAATAATTATTAATTATTTGAAAATTTGAAAATATAAAATAGTTGTATACTCTTATGTGTTTCTATTAGGGTCATTTAGTAGAACACACCTTAGAGTTTTACATATTTACTTAAACTTTCCTTATAGTTTTCATTTTAATAAAATATCTCATATATTTTACAATTTATTTACTTAATCAACCTTTCATTAAGGAGTGTTTGTTTTGCCATTAGGGCCATGATTTTTTATTCCAAAAATACCCTTATCACTTTTTTGTACAGAAAACAAAATTGACTAAATATAGCCAATAGAGTGGTTGCTTGTTTCTTATTAGGGGCAAAAATGGTATTTTTATTTTTTATTTTTATTTTCCTTTGACAAAATTTATTTTAATGAACATTAGGGTCAACACTATCATTTTGCACTGTCACCTAATGATAGATTGATTAAATTCATAGTAAATTATAAGTGATGTTTTAGTAAAATACAAACTGTAGGATAATGTTTAGTAAATCCATGAAATTGGTGTTTTAGTAAATGACCATTTTCTATTATTTAGCTTTCTCTTAACAAATCCCATGCATCACATGGGTCCTCGCTAGTCTTAATAGATAAAAACATGTTAGGGAAAATCTATGATGGGGAAAAGATATGGTACAGAAAGAGTTTGGACCAATGAATTTTGGTAAATTACACCCGATTCGCTACCACGTTTGTTGTTCTACTTGATTGGTCAGATGTTTTTTTGGATATTATATCTTTTCCATATCATAGTCGAACCCAACATGTTATAGTTATAGAATTTCTTAACTCGACAAGAAAGCACATAAGTCATTTTATGTCCTGCTTGTATGATCCGGTGGTAATAAATAAATGCTGAGCATGATCCAAGGAAGAAAAGAAGAAACAAAACGAAATAATGCACATTATGTCAATCGCCAACTGAACCTAACTGTATAACATATAGTTAAAATGCATTCACAGCATTAATTATAAAAAAATGCATTCACAGCATTAATTATAAAAAAAATGCATTCACAGCATTGAATCATCATCAACATTAGTTGCAACCGAGTTGCAAGTATCTCCAATAATCCTATCCCATGGTTGACAACTTGAGCATTGAGAGCAGTATAAAGAAGTAAATAACAATAACTCAAATAGAACAGTCTATCTAAAGAGAAATCAAGGCCAATTCAATGAGCAAAGGAGCACTCAACTTCAAAACTTTTTTCTTTAAGGAAGCATCTTGGGTCTAGGGACAGAGGACAGGAAGATCCAGTAGATGGGTCTGGGCCCTTATAACTTGCTGCCTACTCCAAGAATAGTTAGAGGCATTAGATGAAAATTCTGAACCTGGATTAGTATTACGCATAAAAATAATAAAATATAACTCATCCCTTGAATAAACTTCTATTCAACCCAACAAATCATAGAGGACATAATATATGGAAGAAGAATCTGGAACATTTATGAGCAAACGGGGAAACCGTTGAAGAGAAAATCCTTCAAATTGTCAATTGATCTTCCCATGTGACGAATCATTTAAAATCAACTCTATTTTCAGATTACTTATCAAGCCAAAATCAGAGTTGCAATTTTATAGTACTCAAAGTGATTGCTTTGAGATCCACAAAATTTGAAGAGGAACTGAGCAAGAGCTCTGCATGTCATTTAACAACTCAGCTTAATAAAACCTTATCCTAACCATCTAACTTCTGCCTAAGATGCAGTGCACTTTGCTTGAGAAACATCCAATTTCTCAAAGACATAAGTCATAGGACTTTTTTGCTTTGGCTTGCTTGGATCTCAGAACCGCATCACCAACTAAAAAGAGGAAAAAGAATCTCAGAACCCAACCCTTATTTTAACTATCTTAAAGAAGCATTTCAATGTCCATCCTAAAAGATTCAGTTCAGGTAGATAAAGATTAAAAAATAACTTGGACATTGTTTGCTGATAGAACTTGTAGTCTGAACGCTGATAAATTCCAACTGAAACTCAACAAGCCATATCCATATTTGCAATAATAAATATTTCACAAGATAAAAAGAAAGGGTAGAATGAAACTCAAATGAGTAAGAACTCAAGCGTCTAGATGAAGAGAAAATTCTGAAATTCATCCGAGAAAGTGATGCCTTAAAACCTATGACACCTGTGTCAAGATGTTCCACATACATGGACATATTTGGCCTTCTATACTTTTTTTATTTTATTTTAAAATGAAAAATAGATTAACAGGTGCCATTAGAAGTTTACTAAGATTTATTTCCTTTCTTAAATGTGGTAAAATACAAACATGGTGTCTGCGCCAAACATGATGCTTGCTTCTGTATCCACAGTTCACAGCTTAAACTACACCAAAAAAAAAAGGTGCATAGACAGAAATAATTAACCCATAGGTCAGAAGTTGAAGACAAATTTTATATAAAATCAGAACGAACATTTTCTACCTGTAGGCACACATAAGTAGACATCTATATCTTGCCTAATTGCATGCTTTCACATTCTTCTTTGAGCTTCATGTTGTTAATAATGATAATCGCAACAACAAAAACAATAACAATGTGGTCATGGTGTTGCTTTTGCAGTTTTATAGTTACTTTTTTGTTAATTCATGATTAAGTAAATGCTCAACATTTTCTTTCTGTCCTAATCCACCATTAATCTCGTTCGTTCCTCCATTCCCAACCAAAAGTAAAAGAAAAGAAAGAAAGATCATTGAAGAAACCCTAGAAGGTTCTGTTACCCTATGGCCTATACATCAGTGGATTTTGTGAACAAAACAAACAACAACAAAGTGGGAAAGAAGACAAAAACATAGACAAATGGGGTGGGAAGATATATTAGAGAAAGAGAGAGCAGTTTTTACATGGTTCATTAATGTGGTGTGTTCCATGGATGAGCCTCAGTGATGTTTCACTATTTTCTCACATTGAATTACAACATCACTTTCTTCTTCTAAGATCTTGATAACTGGGCTTCTTCCTTCTATCTCTACCTCTGTCGGGTTATAGAATCTTTCTAGAAACAAACTAATACAATCAATACCGTTTTCAAAATGTAAAAAAAAAAAAAACAACTATTAAAAAATAAAAGTATACAAATATAGTGGAAATTGATCTATGAAAGTAAACAAAACAAAGTAAAACTACATGAAATTAATCTTCAAAGTGGATCATTTTGACTGAGTTCAAGTTCCAACAGTACTTAAATTGTTAGGGGAAATAAGAGATTTTTTTCTTTTATTTCTTATTGATTAAAAATTATCATAAACAAGAAGAAAAAGTGAATTCTCCAATTCTCCTTCAGTGTGGAAGGTGATGGTTTAAAAATGTTAGCTCACCCAAGAGGTATAATTTCTTGGCAGTGTGAGGCTAGTTGGATCAAGAGAGCTTTCAAGGACTCCATCCCTTCAATCATTCCTTGGCTGCTGTTTTGTGGTGCTTTCTACTAAATTTGCATTGCACATAACTCTGGAGAGTTCCCTCAGAATAGCAGCTTACATGGAAGAATTATATCAAAAGATTCAAAACCAGAATTGGTAGAATGCATAACTGCAGTTATTCTAAATTCACACCTAGATTCTAATCTTTCTTGCCTCCTGCATAAAGGATTCCTGATTTTATTATTCATAATGGTCATTACTCATATTTTTTGAACATGTTTGAGGGTCTCTCACCCTCCATTACAATTTATACTTAATACAAAATTTTTACCATCTATCCAAAAAAAAAGTCTAAGTGGGTTGGGGTCTTGAGTTGCTTTTCATAGGGTTATTTGTAGGTTCCTTTTTAGGTGGTGGGTTGTTACTTTGGTTCTGGTGGTTGGTGGGTGCTCTGTGAAACACTGGTTATGTTTGTGGGGGGTGTCTTTCCTCTTGTATATGTTTGCACCCCTTATATTCTATCTTTGCAATAAATTTTTGGATTTACAAGCCAAAAGAAGAACATTCAAATAGCATAAAGTCATGACATACCTGGAACCTTTTCAATCTCAATAGAACAGAAGTAGTGTTGCTACAGATCGTATACTCATCAAACCATGATCTAACAGTCTTCTGATCAGTATCTCAATAAAGTCTTGTGAAGACAGAGCATTTGAACCTCCTCTGCACACAGGCAAAAGCTACAGTAGGATTGATAATGTGGAACAGAAGTATGAAAATAACAATTTGATAAAAATAAAGAGGTTAGGGCTAACCAAGTAACTGTAAGAAAGACATCAGCAAAAAAAAAGTGCACTGTTCCCTCTTTCTATATGAAGTAAAAATAACTAAAATTTTGTCAAAGGAAAGTGAATCACAGAAATGATAAATCATAAAGGCTTCTTTGAATAATGGAGATCATGTACTTAAACAAGCATGGTGTTGTATGAAATGAGACATTAAAAAAAAAACAAGTGAAATAATACATTATATTTGTAAAAGAGAGATAAGATCCCTCAAACAAGCTTTCCAAAAAGCCAGCCAACAATAGTCACTATACATTAAGAGCTAGCCAGTGTATAGTTGCTATCATATATAATTCTATACCAATCATTACAAAAAAAATGGAGTATGAACATATTGAAAACTCCCTGTAGGCTCCTACTCAAAAAAAGGGAAGCCTTTCCATTCTCCCAATCAGCAATATGAAATAAGTCATAACAGAGCCAACATGAACTTTGAGAAGAGGCACTAAACAGGTGCAGTTGAAAGTTGAAACCCAGCTACTTTTGAGGAAAGAAAACATGAAAACCAATTTCTAGATCTCCATTATGGTCCTGAATATAAGGCAAAACAGACTGATAGTGAGAAAAAAGAGCAAAAACAAGTAGAGTAATTAAAATTTAAAAGAGAATGCAATCTTCTAGACATAATCACATAAAAGTCATTGTCAACTACTACAGGTTAGCAGAGGAAAGGTAGGGAGTAAAGGTGGATAGAGGGACATCCAGGGTCCATTTGGTTCCTGAGAAGATTGGTCTGAGAAAGGAAAGGATGGGAAGGGATGAGATGAGAAACAGAAAACTTATTTTTCTCATTGGGGCATCTTGAATTTGGTTTATTGCACTAAATATGTGGGAAAATCAAGTTTTCAATGTTTGTTTACTGAGAAAATTCAAACATAAAACCCCTGTGCACATGTTTGAGCACATTCATGGGACAAACTAAAAGATTAGGCATTACCTCACAGATTAGGCTTGGAATCGGCCTTTGATCTGCAAAATAGGGTGGAGAAAAGTGCTTAAATCTACAAAAATCCAAATATAGCAGATCTAGATCACAAAACCCCATGTGCATGAAGCAGACGCTGCCAGAATCAGTGGTTTTCAGAACAGGGGCAACTAGTTATTGTCAGTTCCCTAAAACCACAAAAAAAACAAAGAAAAAAATGGGCAAACAGGTATGCCCAAACCAACTGGTGTTGTCCCAGATAAACCATTTCTAGATACAACGATTGTTCGGAGGGGGTAAACAATGGATTGGGGGAGAAGAATTTCCCATCAAAAATATGAAAAAGAGGACTTAATCGAATCAGTATTGCGAGTAGAAGGCCATTCTGGTCTTACCATTAATGGTTATGGATGGAGTTCTGATTGTTGAAGGGCATGAACGCTGGGTTGAGGAAGAAAGATGAGACACCTCTAACAAGCCCCTGAAAAGTTTCTCGAATATGTCTTAGTAGTGTCTTTTTTCAATGAGGTCACATTGATTTGGTGTGACCCTGTGTCCTTGTTTTTGAGACCCTGTGTCTCACAGTTTTCCTATCCCATGCTACTCTCTCTCTCAAATCAAATATAAGACAAAAGAATCATTCAGGAATATTCCCAGTTTCTCATACCTTTCTCAGGAATCAAACGGTTCCTCAACTATCCCCAACTAGAAAAAAGAGTTCAAGGTGATGGACAACCCCATGACTCGAGCACTGAAACAGAAATACCTTACCTGTAGGAACCCACTGAGAAGCATGTGGTATACATTCCCCCATTTCCAAGCTCTGGATGGACCACCTGATAATCTTATCTATAGATTGCGTGCTTGATTCCTGGCATTAAATTTTCAAACCACAACTACTAGTGTCATTGCTTCCTATGTGTAACTGACTTCTAGCCCAACAAAACAAGGAGCCTTGAGCATCTGTACACTCACTTCCCTCACCATAGAAAGAGTGTCTTTCTTGTTCCTCCTCTTTTCATCCCTCATATACATTTAACTCGTTAGATGATCTAATATCATCAGATTATTGGATGAGCATATAGTTTTCATATTTCCACTAAAGTTAGTCATCACTGACAAGAGTGTGAATTAGGTCCCCCCGCCATTTCTTCATGTCTAAGTTGCTGTAAAGTAGAGATATTCATTTCATAGAAAATTCCATAATCATGTAGGGTTCTCCACTTAGCACCCAAGGTATGAGCCAACCCTCCCAACCAAAAAACTGTCTCTAGGTATTCCTTGAGCATCACCAATAATCCTTGCATGAGCAAACACCATCAGTAAAATGATGGAAACGGGTTGCATCCCTGAGAATTATTTCTCTCCTAACAAACTTAGAGACAAGCTTACTGAATGTATGGCAATCACCACATACCCTGAGGTTCTTAGTGATTAAGATTGGGGACCTACCAGTAGTGTTGAGCAGGCCAAATGCTATTGCCAGCTTCTCACTATGGCTGAAAAGCTTCAGATCCTTTTCTTCATCCTCAACATCATGAAGTACCCATAGTCGATCAGGAACGTACCCAATTTCCTTGACTGAAGAAATCAAACAACTTAATTTCATACATATCCTATCTGATTGTGGGTGTGACCTATCCCCAGCAGAAAAACAGTGAACTCGGTTTCTTGTAACAATCCAGCTATTTCCCTGGGGCTTACTTAGGCCCTTTTCCTTGATCTGCGCTCTCAAATTTCTTACTTCTTCCCAAAGACCTGCTGCAGCATATATATTAGATAACAATACATAATTTCCAGCATTCAGGGGTTCTAATTCAACAAGCTTCTCAAAAATGGGTCCAGCTAGTTTGACTTCAGAATAAACCCGACAAGCACCAAGAAGAGCTCTCCATACACATGCATCTGGTTTGATGGGCATTGAATCAATAAAATATTTGGCTTCCTCCAGATGGCCACCACGTCCAAGTAGATCAACCATGCAAGCATAGTGAACAACTTCAGGGGTTATGTTATAGTTCCTGGTCATGGAATGGAAATGTTGCCAACCCTCATCTATCATACCAGAATGACTACAAGCGGATAAAAGTGAAACAAAGGTTACACTGGTAGGTCTTATACCATCCTCTTGCATTTTTGAGAAAGCAAGGAGGGCATCTTTTCCACGCCCATGTATACCATATGCAGCAATCATGGCATTCCAAGAGATAATATCTTTTCTTGGCAGATGTCTAAAGATCATTTCAGCATTCTTCAAGCTACCACATCGTGCATACATCGTCACAAGAGCATTTCCCAAGTACATGTCAAAAGTCATATTGAATTTTCTTCTTATTGTATATGCATGTATTGATCGGCCTTGAGGTAAATAGGCTAAATGAGTGCAACATGAGAGAACATTTATGATAGTGACTGGATTGGGCTCCACTTCGAAGATCATCTGGTGGAAGACCAGTAGAGCTTTGTTGTGCCAATTGTTCTGAACATAACTGGCAATCAAGGCATTCCATGATATCAAATCTCTGTCAGGAAAGTTCTCAAAAAGATGCCTAGCCACTGCTTCATTGCCACAGTTTATATACATTTCTGTGAGTGCTGTACATAATGGTGAATGAAATTCAAGACCATGTCTAATCACATAACAGTGGATGGATCGTCCAACAGTAAGATAGGTTTCATTTCCACATGCCTCGAGAGCAGAAACCATTGTGAAAGAATTGGGTCTGACATTGCATTGTTGCATCTGTGTAAAGGCATCTCGCACCTGATCTATCAATTTGTTACGGGCCAATGCAAGAACTAAAATATTCCAAGACACAACATCTCTACATCGCATTTCATCAAAAACAGTTTGGACAGATTCCACACAATTTATGTCAGTATACATGCTAAGTAGTGCATTGCCAAGAGACAACCCCATCTCCATACCACTCTTGATAAAGTAAGCATGCAAGCATTTGCCTTCCCCCAAACCACTAGCTGATTCTGCACATATTGACAACATAATAGCAACTGTGGTCACATCTTCTTTAACCGCTTCTGCTCTCATTCTAGAAAACAAAGTGAATGCTTCGTCATGGAATCCACACTCTCTACAGGCTGACAACATAGCATTCCATAAAGCAACATCTCTGCCCGACAAGGTTTCAAATAGTACCTTTGAAAATTCAAAGCTTCCTTTCTTACAGTACATAATAATTAAAGCATTCGTTATGAATAAATCAGAGGAAAAACCAAGCTTAACTGCAAGTTGGTGGATTTGCTTCCCCAATTCAAGAGACCCGGAATCCATGCAAGACTGGATAGAAACCAACATAGTAACAGAATCTGGCCTGATGCCACCGGTCAACATTCGAACCAAAACTTTAAGAGCTTCATAGCTATATCCCATGTTAAAATACCCGGAGATCATAGCGTTCCAGCTTACAATGTTCCTCACCAGCATCGAATTGAACACATGTTGTGCCGCTACCCTCCCGTCAAACCTAGAGTAAAAACCAATCAAAGCAGTACCAACATAAGGATCCAAACCTAATTGTCCACTCCTTAGACAGTAACAGTGTACCTCCTGTCCTAGTCTCAATTCAGAGAGCTCCTCACATGCTGAGAGTACACCCACCAAAGTAACCGAACTGGGTTTCAGAATTTCCTTTTGCATCCGCGCAAACAGCCAAATAGCATCCTTGTAGCAACAATTTTCCACATGCCCAGAAATCATAGCATTCCAACAAACCACATCTCTAATCGGCGCTTCTTCAAACAGTTGACGAGCGTCTTCAAGAAAACCACATTTACTATAGAAATCGATTAAAGCAGTTCGAACCCGGACATCTTCGATTAACCGAGTATTTTGAATATCCGAGTAGATTTTCCGTCCTCTTTCAACTGCCTTCAGCCTGGCACATGCCTTGAGGATGAGTGGCAAAACCACGTTATCAGGCAAAACGCCCAGGGCCTCCATCTGGGCATGTGAAGCAAGAATTCCTTGGTCATTTCTCAACCTAACGTGTTGTCTGATGATTGAATTCCAGGCTGTTGCGTCTCTCTTCTGAGTTTGAGTGGGTGATAGGCATGCCTTTGGGAAGCTTATTGAGGTAGATATCACCATTGAGGGTGGTGGTTTATATTTGGCGGGAAAAAATAAAAAGGACGACGAGGTGGCAGTTGGGTTGCCACTTTTCGCCCTTCTTATTAAGCTGGGAAAACGGACGTTAGGGTCAAAAAAGTCTTTTTCACAAGTCCGCGAGCCCATAACATTAGGCTATATTTGGTAAATAAAAGGTTATTAAAAAAAGTACTTGTTGCATTTTCAAAAAGTGCTTCTTTTAGAAAATGCTCTCTATAATTGTTTTTTAAGCACTTATTGGGTGGAGATGTTTTGTGAATTACTTTCCCCACAAGTGCTTATGTTGATACTTTTATCTTCACTTCATTCATACATATAAACAATGCTTTCTATATAATTATAATATACATTTAAATGAAAATCGCTACATCATCACATCGCGACAATGAGAGCTCACATGAGCCCACACATAGAGTTTCACATAGATAATAATAACAACAACAACAATATATATAAACATTTAACGAAATATTAATCAGAATTTAAAAATAAAACATCACAAATATTCACATACCAAAATGCAATGTGAATTTAACATCACCAAATATTCATCCAACTTCAACAAAATTTTTGCATGATTTTTAACAAAAAACGCCCAAAAAATCCTACTTATGCATAGAAACCAATTTATAGACTGCCAAAAAAATAAGCAAAAAAAATCAGATTTCTCATATAAAACGATAAAAAAAATTCAAATCAGACAAATAATCATCCAAAAAAACCAAACACTGAACATAGAGGGGGGGAGTTTAGGTGAACTAACCTTCTTGTCGTCAACGGTTGGATGGTGGGATTGTCACCATTAAACTTGCCCAAAATTATATCTGCGAACAAAGAGAAGATGAGAGTTTGACTTAAGAAAAAACAATAAAATAACTTCAAATCAAAGAAAAAATTCACAAAAAAAGGGCAAAACAACAAGTCTACTTATCGTTTTTCCTCATCGTCAATCGTCATCGGTGGATTTGCAACTAAAGGCATCACTCCCTGATTTGCTGTATTCGAATGGGAGGACAAGGACCGATTGTGCCATTTGATCGGAAGAAGCACTTATCCAAGAAATGCTAAAAGAAAAGCAACCTTGAGGTCACTTTTTAAAGAAGTACTTATTTTATAAAAAATAGTATTTCTTTCTCGGTTTTTTTTTTACCAAACACATATAAGCACTTCATAACCACTTAATGTGTAGTCCAAGCTCTTAAAAGAATTACTTTTTAGAAGTGAAATCAAACAGGGTCATAATACGGGTGCAAAGTATGATGGCTGTCTTAATAACATCCAAGGTTGTTTCAGTAAATTATGAAAACCATATGGAGTGTCGAACTAATAAGTCTAAATTAGTGTTTTATTTGAAAAGTAAGTGCTTTGTGTTTGGTGAAAATCACTTATTTTAAACTAGGTAGTATAAGTATTTTCAAAATGACATGATGGGTAAGATAGGCCAAAAAGGAATAAATACTTAAAAATAAGCTCAAAAATTGGACTTCTCAAATAAGTGTTTATTTTCATTAAAACTTATTAACACAAATAACTGTTTATTAATGTGGTCTCAAACTCTCTGTCCAAAATAACTAAATAAGTGATTATTTGAATAATCACTTATTTTTTTTAAGTATTCCCAAATTTAGCCTTAAATTCCTTGATGTGGTATGTTGATATCAAATTAAATCAACCGTGACGTGTTCATATCAAATCAATCATGGTGTTTCCAAATCATTTTTAGATCAAATGTCAAACCATTTACATGAGGTTTGAAATTGATTCATAACATCATAACATGAAGTAAAATCATGGGAAGTTGCCCAAAACCCACCATCACTTTTAATGAATTCTATTAAATTTACCACAACTTTTCAAAACGTCCAAAACTCACCATGTTACTAACATGACGTTAAACAGATTAACGGGAGTTAACACATTACCATTTTACCCTTCATAGAAAATATAAAATATATACCTATATATTTTAACTACAAAAACATGAAAAAAAGGAAAATGTTCAAAAAATATTTTCAAATATAAAATACATAAAAAACACAGAAATTACAAATAAAACTATAGAAGTTGAAAACAAAATAAAAATTGTAGAAAAACACCTAAAAGTATAGAAAAACACAGAAATTTCAAATAAATAACAAAAAATACAGAAAAATATATAGATTTTAGAAAATAGAAAAATGTGAAAAATATAAATTAGAAAAAAAACATTGGAAATTATAACAAAACACTAAAAATGCAAAAAACAAGAAAAATGAAAACTAAAAAAGACAAAAGAAACTTGAAAAATATAAAGATTGGATAAAAACATAAATTGCAAATATACATAAAATGATAAAAATTCAAAAATTATATATTATACAAAAAATAAAAAATTGTAAAAACATGATGAAGTGATAAAATTTTCAAAAATATAATAAAAACCTACACAACATACATAAAATGATAAAAATTTAAAAAATATCAACTAAAAAACAAAAAATAAAAAAGATTTTTTTAATTATATATTTTAGAAAAAAATCAAAAATTACAAACAAACTAATAAAATGATAATTTTTTTCAAAAAATTAGACATTGAATTCGAAGATTGTTGCAACAAAATTTCAAAAAAAAATTCAGACAATCAGATAAACAATTACAAAATGTTTTTTGCATAAATTTGTAGAACCCTCGACGGGGATTTACATTCCAGATTCAAAAGAATACATTCAATGTTTCAAAACATCAAAAATCTTTGAAATGTATTATCATCTTCTTTCAAATCTTCAAACCAGTAGATCGTCTTCTTCAAGATCTGAGCAAGAGAGAGAAGGTGCTACGACGACAACAAGATCCGAAGAGGGTGGTGCGGCGACGGCAAGATCTGAGCAAGAGAGAGGGTGGTGCGGCTACCTTCAAGAACAAGAGAGAGGGTGGTACAGCTACCTTCAAGAATGAGAGAGAAGGTGGTGTGGTGGCTAGATTTGAGCGAGAAAAGGTGGTGCAGCGGCCAAATTTGAGCGAGAGAGAGGGTGATGTAGTGATTACCTTCAAGATTTGAGCGAGAGAAGGTAGTGCGGAGGCCAAATCTGAGCGAGAGAAAGGGTGATGCAGTGACTACCTTCAAGATCCGAGCGAGAGAAGGTGGTGCGTAGTCAGATCTGAACGAGAGAGAGGGTGATGCAATGATTACCTTCACGATCTGAGTGAAAAAAGGTGGTGCGGCTGCCAGATCTGAGCAAGAGAGAGGGTGATGCAGTGACTACCTTCAAGATCTAAGCGAGAGAAGATGGTGCGGTGGCCAGATCAGAGAGAGAGAGAGAGACTTTTGGTCTAACCCTAACCTAAATGACCCTTTTCCCCTAATTCGCCATTCAAGGGTAATTTGGTCATGAAAAATGTTATTTATGTTGACATGGCCATTTACGTTAAGAAACATTAACAGTGCACTAACGGAAGGTGAGTTTTGGAAAATAAAACTCATTTGACATGGTGAGTTTTTTGACGTTTTGAAAAGTTGTGGTGAGTTTTAGAGAATTCATAAAAAGTGATGGTGGGTTTTGGACAATTTCCCTAAGGTTGTGGTTGGTTTGAAGGAAAAGGAAAGGAAAGGAAAGGAAAGGAAAGTTTAGGAAACATATACGAACCTTGTATGGGTTTCCCTAATTTTCCCTTCCTTTCCCTACCTTTTCCTTCAAACCAAACACAGCCTAAAACCATTCGATTTCCTTTAAGTATTGACAGGATTCAACGTCGGTTTTGGTAGTCCGGTTAATCTGGGAAAGAAAAGGCCCATCAGTGCTATTTGGATCAATTATGCCTTCCCAAATCTAAAAGTGGCTTAGGATTTCATAACGCTAGCTACTGTGTTTAATTAGGCATTGCTTAAGCAGTTTGCTTGGCAATTTGTCACTATTAGGATGTGTTTGGTTGCAATGCAAATAAATTTGTACTGATGCAAAACTATGGCAATGCAAATGATTTGAGTGTAAATTTTGACATATTTTGGTTTCAAATTTTAGCTTATTTTGTTTGATTGCAATACAAATAAAGTAAATTAAGATATGAAGTATAATAAAGTAAAGTCCAAAACAAAATTAAATAAGAATTTACATTTGCACTTCCATGCATTTATACTAATGCAAATAAATTTGCACTGCAACCAAACACAACCTAATAAATCTTCACTTTAAACTAGAATTTGGATGGCAAATATTGAAGAATAAGGATAAGTTTTGAATTTACATGGATGCCCCACAACAAGCATAATCCAATAGTGTATTAGGAACATCTCCCCATGACTAAACCTAATCACAGACCGGGCTTTAGATCTAACTCTACACTGTGTTGGATTAAGGCTTTGGATCGGTTCCATTCAAATTTTGATAACCCAAGCTCAAGCCCAACCCATGAATAGGTCTACTTATGACAAGTATGGGAGATGTTTTCCAATACATGATGAGATATGCATGTGGGGGGTGCGCTACATGTGGCGCCAATCTAAACTCATAAGTTTCCTCGAGAGTTGTCTAGTGGGATTATTCTTTGGAAATCTGTTTCAAATTTTCTAACCAATTTTCATAGGGAGCTAGGCTATTTGGTAAAAGTGAATGATCACAATTCAATATGGAAGGTACCATGTTTTAGAATTGGAATTAACTTAATATGGATGAGCATTCTACATGGGACTGGGATGATTTTAAATTGTTTCCTTTTTCAACCCAGACATGGTTGAACATGTTAAGTTAATTCCAATTCTAAAACATGAAAGTAATTGTCAGTGGTTATGGTTGTAAAATTCCCAATTAGTTACCTATACTTTGGGCCTAGTGTGACTTTGGTCCCCAAACTATAAAATACGACAATTTAATACCCAAACTTAAAAAAGGTGTCAATTCAGTACCTACTGTTAATCAGTCCATTAACCAACCGTTAAGTGGCATTTGAAAAGACACAAATGCCCTTCAAGTGTCATCTAATTCACTTTATCAATCATCCAAACATTGACAAAAAATGAATAGTTCCAAATCCTTT